TATTTTTGGAGAGGTTTTTGCTATAGGGCACGTGCGCTTGCCAGAAAGAGAGAGACAGAGACACAGAAAGCAAGGAATTACCCCCCAGGGAGGATGGCCACGCCACAATACTTTCTCCATTCTCATCTTGGGATCTTTTGGGCACGCACGCACACTCACTCGGCCTGAGTTTAATTCACCGGGTTCGGGACTTGAACCGCAGTCGACCACATGGGAGTCCAGCAACATAGCCATTACACTAACTATTGGTCCCTCTTTTTTTATTTTTAAATTTTTGCCATGGGACATATGCACTCACCAAAGAAAAGGGAGAGAGAGAAAGAGAAAGCACTGTCCAGGAGAATGGCCGTGTTGCGACCCCTTCTCCAGTCCCCTCTCGGGACTCGGGCATGCACACCCACTGCCTGCTATGATTTCTAAGTCATAGCTCCAGGACTCGAACTGCAGGGAGCCACATGGAGGTCCAGTACATTAATCCTCATGCCACCTGCGGGTCCTAGGCTGACCTTTTAAAATTATTGCCAGAGGGCACGTGCCCTTACAACAGCGAGAGACCCTCTAATGAGGCGTGGTCATGCCACTGTCCTTTCCCCCACACCCCTTCCCGTCTTAGCAGGCAGGTGCACAGGTACCAGCGTGCTCTTCTTTTTACTTTTTTTTCTTTTTAGAGAGTTTTTTGCTAAAGGGAGCGTATATTCACCAGAGACAGAAAGTGAGAAATCACCCCTGGGGGGATGGCTACACACAGTCCCTTCTCCATTGTTCTCCTGGGACTTGGGCACACGCACACGCACCCAGCATGAGTGTTAGGCTGCTAGGTCCAGAATCACGGTGGACTACATGGGAGTCCAGCGACGTAACCACTGTGCCATCTCCTGAACCTGCCCAGTGTGTTTTTCAAGTCGCCATGATGGGCACTCCTAGGCAGTCAGCCACGTGGGAGTCGGCTCCCAGAGCAAGCGCTTACCGGCCCGTGTGGGGCCAGCGCTTCCGGCTCTTTCCAGCCGGTCCCCGTTTGCAAGTGCTGTTTCAGGGACACCCTGTTTTCTTTTCTTTTCTTCTTCTTTTTTTTTTTTTTAGTTTTTTTTGCCCTAGGGCGCATGCCCTCGCCAGACAGAGACAGAGAGACAGAAAGTGAGAAATCAGCTCCCGGGGTGATTGTCACACCGCAATCCCTTCTCCTCCATTCTCCTCTTGGGATCTTGGGCACGCACACATGCCCGGTGCGAATTTTAATCCACCGGGTCTGGGACTCGAACTGCGGTCGACTACGTGGGAGTCCAGCGACATAGCCATTATGCTAACTGCTGGTCCCCGGGGATACCCTGTTTTCTGCATCGAGATTACCTTCTGTATCTTCACGGCCCGCCCGTGTGCTGGCTTTTCTGGAAAACTGTGCTTGCCCGTGTTTGGCTATGCTACAGCCTCCCTCTTCAGGGTTCCCGTGGCGACCTCTACTGTCCCCTACAAGCAGGATCTGTTCCCCTCATCCCCATCCTGACTCCTAAACCCGGCACCATCATGTTCAAGCTGCGTGACCTAGGAGTGCCTGAACCTTCCAGTCGCCTGTGAAATGCGATTAGTAATGCCGGGGTGACAAGGCCCAACGCCCATCCCGTGCTTGTCCGGGCTATGGCGCTAACCCTTTCACGGAAGCAGCATCCTCAGACACTTCATGAGGCGGGGCCTCTCCTATCCGACCTGTTTCCCTGCTGCTGCTGCAGAGCCTGCTCTGAGACCAGGCGGGGCACAGAGGGACCGCAACCAGGCCCACCTGGGAACCTTCGGCTCCCGTCCTGAGACTGCCCTGAGCACAAGGGTGTGCACATGCTTGGGTTCAGGCTGGCTGGAGTGGGGCGGGCGGGGTGCAGGGACCCTGTTAGAGGTGCCTGTCTCTCTGTCTCTTGTCTCTCTCTCTTATGGAAGAAATAAATGAGAAAGAAATATTTGTTGAAAGGGGGCAGCCAGGTGGCATGGAGGTTAGGGCTGCTGGGTCCCATATGACTCACTGTGCAGGTCCAGTCCTGGGCCCTGTGGGCTTAAAATACATGCCAGGCGTGGGGCAGGCAGGTGGTGTTTAAAGGCGTGGTGTGGTGGTTTAAGGCGCTGGATTCCCACATGGCCGACTGCTCTTCGAGTCCCAGACCCGGCAGCTTGCTCCGGGCCCTCCTAGTAGCTTGCTTTCTCACTTTCCCCGTCTCTCTCTCTCTGATCAAATCAGGAAATGATAATAATAAAGTTAAACAAACAAACAAAAAAACATGTCAGGTACATGTGCACGCATGTCCAAAACCCTGAGAAGAGAATGGGAGAGAAAGGATTGTGGCATGGCCACCCCTCCCCCCCATGGAGTGTGTGTGTGTGTGTGTGTGCGCGCGCGCGCGCGCGTGTGTGCGTGTGTGCTTTCCTGTCACCCCTCTCACCACCTCCACCATCTCTCTCTGGCGAGCACACATGCCCTATAGCAAATTTTTTTAGTAATTCATTTATTTATATTATTATTATTTTAAAACTTTTCCTATAAGGCACATGTGCTCACCAGAAAGAGAGAGAAAGCAAGTTGCCAGGTCTAGGACTCGAACCATGGTTAGCTATGTGGGAGTCCAGTACCTTAACCACCATGCCACCTGCTGGCCCTCCCCTTTTCTTTAATGGAGATTTTTGCTATAGGGGATGTGCACTCACTAGAGACAGAGACAGAGATCCAGAAATTGAGAAATCCCCCATTTGGGTGAGTGCCACAATCTGGCCTCTTCCATCCTCCTCTTGGGATTTCGGGCATGCTTGCACAAATGCCCAGCGTGAGTACTTTTGCCGAGAAGTTTTTGCTCTAGGGCATGTGAGCTCACCGGAGACACAGAGAGAGACAGAAAGTGAGAAGTCACCCCCCGGGGGATGGCCACGCCACAATTCCTTCTCCTCCATTCTCCTCTCGGGATCTTGGGCACACAACGCACACGCGCCTGGCGTGAGTTTAAGCCACCGGGTCAGGGACTCAAACCGCGGTCAGCTACATGGGAGTCCAGCGACATAGCCACTACATCAACTGCTGGTCTCCCCAGCGTGAGTTTTAAGCCACCAAGTTCAGGACTTGGACCATGATCCACTATGTGGGAATCCAGCAATATAACCATTATGCCATCTGCTGGTTCTACCCTATAGCAAATTTAAAAAATCTTTTGTTGAAAGAACAAGTGCTATGGGGCCAGCAGGCGGTGTGGTGGCTGGGGCACTGGGACTTCCATATGGCTGGCCACGTTTCAAATCCTGGACCTGGCTGATGGCTG